TTCCATGGGTTGCCCAGCCACAGCTTCTCTGGTCAGCCCTCTGGCTGGTTGAGTGCTCAGTTGGATTCATTACCTTTTGATCTCTGTTTGGAAGGCGTAGGTTTGGTAGGTTGGAAAAGGCTCGGATGGTGTGATTATCTCACTTTCTTCTTCAGTAGCAGCTGATGGGAAGTACTGCATTGCAGCATGAAGCTCTGCAGAAAAAAAAGCGACAGGGATTACATGGGAAAACACCTCTGTCTGGAAACCAGAGCCTCTCTGAGCCACGCTCTGCTATCTATGAACAACAGCAAAGGTGACAGCAGAACTTCCTCTGGACAAGTCTGCAGGTTGTCTCCCAGCTGTGACACCCAATGCTATTTGATTGCAACAGACTCTGGACTGTCCACTCAGTAATTCCCTGGTGTGACCACTCCAGACTACGAGGTGGATTGTACGTTGTGTGCTATGACATCAAACACCTCACCCACCGGTTCTCATCTTCTCACATAACAAGTCATCAGGGCATGGCAAGACACTGACAAAGAATTAGAAACTTATTTTAGTTCGATATTTCAGGGCAGCAGCTGAAACTTTTTGCTCTGGTTACGCATTAATCATAAGATCATAGAATCATAGAATGGCTTGGGTTGGAAGCGACTTCAAAGATCATCTAGTTCCAAACCCCCTGCCATGGGCAGGGACACCTTCCACTACACCAAGTTGCCCAAAGCCTCATCCAACCTGGCCTTGAACACTGCCAGGGATGGGGCAGCCACAAGTCCTCTGGGCAACCTGTTCCAGTGCCTCACCAGTCTCATGGTAAAAAATTTCTTCCTTAGATCTAATCGAAATCTCCCCTCTTCCAGTTTAAAACCATTGGCCCTTGTCCTATCACTACACGCTCATGGTTCTGGCATGTGGTTGTGTCTGAGTGGTTCCTGAAATACTAAAGTATCCCTTGACACATTAAAGCATCTGCTTGGAAATGCTGGTCACATTAAGATATGTTAATGCATCCTGGGCCAAGGGAAACCAGAGGATTTAGGGTGAGTTAAAAATATCTCTGTGAACTGATTTTTACAGAATAATCCTCTCCACTGGGAGGAAATTCCAGTTAGACCATCCCTCCACTTCTTGGCAGAAAGGATACTTCCTTTGCTACAAGGATATATTTGTTGTCGGGTTGTGGATTTCTTAATTTTAAAAACATGTTAATAGTACAAAGTATTCAAACAGGTGGAAAAAAATAGTAAATCAACCTTTCTTTACTTCAGAGACAAAATACAGCTGAAAAATGCACCACAGTAAGGCCATAATTCCCAGTAGCGCCCACCAGAACACATAAATTAATGGTTGAACCTAGGACTGCATCCTCACAAACAGCAGGTCCAGGGCTTTCACCAGTGGCTGATCTATCCCAGTAGATCAATGCCCCCAGTAACACATTCGTTGTCCCTGATCTGTTTCCTCGTGATCTCACCTCAAAAACTGAGTGTGTCTTCAGTGGGTAAGTTTCCTGATTTTGATTTTATTATAGTATTTTTAACTATATTTACATATAGTTAATATTTTATTATTTATTTGTTATATATTTACATATATTCCCCTAACTGTGTCCAGAATTAGTAAATAATTTACTTTTAAATAAGAAAGCCAAAGAGGAGGAAGCCCTAAACCACCCGGAGCCAAGTGGTCTTGATTCACTTGCTCTTGACTTCTGGACCCGCATCCGCAAGGACGGAATTGTTTCGATGCAGGAAAACCACAATGCTTCCTTGGCATTTGCTCTTACCCCTTTGATCCTTCGCAGCGATTTTCACTTGGGCAGACGGGTCGCTGTAAAAAAAATCCTGCTTTACTGGTGCAGGCTGTCCTGAAGCGGTAGATAAACCCCTCGGAGAGATTTTTGGCATAGTAGCAGCAGTCAGTGATGTCAGAAGCAAGAGTCGTCCACTCCCCATCTTAACCAAGGAAAGACAGAAAAGAAATTAGGATTCATTTAAGATGATCACACCAGGGTGGGTTTTTTTGCATTTTGGGCTTTTGTTGGTTTTGGGTTTTTTTTTCATCACTCTTACTTATGTGCTGGGAATATGGAGGAACAGTGGCATCTTGTAGAGTGAAGGAAAACTGACTTGCTATGGCCAACTCTTGTGCGTGGTGCCACTTGCTGTACATCTGCTAAACTCATCTTTTCTGAGGTCAGCTGGTTTATATCTAATCAGCCCAAAGTGTGTCAATATTGTTTCAGAGGAATGGTGAAACTTTTCCATATAGTTTCTGTTTATCTAATTTGTGCCACCAGTCTCTAACGCAAATATACATCAAGAACTCCAAACAAAAGTCTAGCAAAATCACCGTTTTTTTCCCTTTGGTCTGTCTTGAAACCACGAGGTGCAGGATTTCAGGACAGAACTGTCCCCTAACACCCTCCTAGCAAACCCAGTGTTTGACACTTGGGCAGGTTTACCCAGCTTTTATGAAACTCAGATGATTTCTCAGGGAACTGCAATAGTAGGTCTGTTCTGGACTCATTATTCATGGGACTAAGGTGAAAAGTTAGAAAATCACTGGCAAACATTTAGTGATCCTTCATTTCACATGATGCTGTGTCCCATATTTTGTCATTGCTGCAGTGCTCAAGGCTGGATTTAAACTCCCTGAGACTGCCCAAGATTGGATTCATCCTTTTAATTCAAATAAACACTGGTAGAGAGCCTCAAACCACAGGACACACAATAATTCACCATCCAAAACAAAGGTATCAATGACTTTGCAGGGTACTGCTTGAATTAGGGTGTGTGTATGTGTAAGAAGGAGCAGATACAGCTTCGAACCAGAGAAAAGTGTCTGCAGAAGCAGCGTGCAAAAACTTGCTGTCAAATAACAAATAAAACAAAGATTTATTTTTTTTTTCTGGTTATCTTCATCCTCCTGTGTTCGGGAAAGCAGGACTTTGCATGTTCCTGCCAAACACACAGAATGTGATGGGAGATAGTAGATGCTGTTTCCTGTTTTTTTTCTGAATGGGAATAACTTGCATTTTGTGTTGTCTGCAAAGCCTCGCCTACAGCTGGGTCAAAATAACAATAAAAAAAGCTGTGTTGGGGGAAAAGTTTTTCACTTTTCACTCCAGCAGCTCCGGAGTGAAAAGATGGAAAGCTGCTGCCCCTGAGCATGCTAATCCAGAAAGAAATGCTTGTGTGTTTGGAGAATTAAAAGAAGGAACACGGAGGAGTTGAATCCAAAGGGCTGTGTATGTGTGACTGCAGCAGAAATTACTGGCAGGCGTAGCATTCACAACAACAACAGCAAAAGCAGTCCCAGGAGAGACGGAACAGGGATTTGATTCAAAGTTCGTGGAATTAAATGAGAAAACATCCACTGAACTTCATCGAGCTCTGGACCAAGCCTTGGAAGAGAACATTGAAGGGATGATGCAGTTTTGCCAAACTTTTGTCATCTTGGCCTGGTGGTTTGCCCTAAGCTTCCTGCATAATCAATGGAAAAAGAAAGCCTGGCTGTGGAGCAGAGGCTGAATTGCCTTGCTGATAGACCATCTTCTCCACAGACTCTACAGAAAGCCTGGCTGTAGGATGATGTTTCCTGATGATCGTTGTTGTGGGCATTATTAGTGTATAATGTTGTATTATTAGTGCAGAATGTTGTCAGAACTGTGATTTGAGAGGGTTACTCAGGACTGGGATTAGTCAGTCTGCCCATGGCAGTGGGGTTGGAACGAGATGATCTTTGAGGTCCCTTCCAACCCAAACCATTCTGTGATTCTATGACTGTGTATCTGGCACCAGCCAGGCACATTCCTCTGTAGCTGCTCACTTTCTGGTCGCAGCTTCCATGCCACCTGGTTTGATTCACACTTTAGCAAAGCCTTTGTATGAGTGTGCATATTCCAGGCTGGTTTAGCCAGCACGACATCCAACTTTTAGATGGCTAAATGATGGCTGTACGAATTTCATTCCTAACTCTAACCTAGGGAGCTAAAACCAGGCTGTTTCTGAATAAAAATAAACCATCCAGCTGGTGAAGACATCATATGAATGTTCAGGAGATGTTCCCTGCAAGGCATAGGGGCAGCACTCCACTTTACCTTCACTCTTGCACTGGACAGTGTAATGGACGGGGGTGTTGGTTTCCACAGGTTTCCAGACCACCTGCACTCCATCCTCATAGACCTCCACGATGTCGGGGGGTGGAGGGCTGGGAGGAACCTCTAATGAGAGGAAGGACAAAAGCCAGCGACTGTTAGTAATAGCACTGCTGTGATACACACCTCTACACCCAGCATTTCGCACAGATATTCTTTTTATATATGTATATGTGGGGTTTTTTTGAAAAAAAAATAAAAATAAACACTCCTAGTGGAATAGCAATTTAACCTTGCCTAATTTAAACTCAGTATTAAGATTTGGAAGTCTAACTCTAGAACTACATGGTTACTGGATTGGTTCTGAATCCAGGAGACAGACTAAAGAGCAAAGAAGAGGGAATGAATCCACGCCACGCCACCAGACAGCAAGGGCTGTGGCTGTGGACTGGAGTGGGCACGGGAGAGGTTGTCCTCTGAACTCATCTGTGCAAATCTCACCTCACAGGTATTTCCAGGTCACGTTTTTGGGCAGAAGTACTTATCATACCTCCTTCTGTAGCTACTTCTTCTCTCACCTGCTTTTCTTATGATGCAAGAGGTGGATGCTGAGCCCAGGGAGTTTGTGGCCACACAGGTGTAAATACCAAAATCCTCAGCACTAACAGAGAGGATAGTTAACAGCTGGAAGTTCTTGAGCGTGGCTGAGATGAGAATCCGGCTGCTGCTGCGGACAGGAATCCCATCTGAAAAGCAGAAGACAGGAGAGATAAGTACCCTGCAAATTTATACCAAGATGTCTAAAACCCTCCCTGCACCCCTGTCCCAGAGTTTAGGGACTCCCCAGGAGGATGCCAATGTCACCTCTGAACCAGTCGATGTGCAGGGAGGAGTGAGCTGCCGTCCGGCACGACAGCGTCACGCACTGTCCGACGGCAGCAGCCTGATCGATGAGCTCCTCGACAAACAAAGGTGCTGCAAAGAAGAGGAAAAACAGTGATTCAGAGCGGCCTGGAGGGCTGTGTGGAAAATAAGGGCACGCAGGACATCAGAAAGCATTTTTAATTGGTTCAAGAACATTTCTGGTTCATGCTTTGGTTCATGCTCTGGCATCCCTTTGACCACCATTTGGAGAATCCCTTGGGCATTGGGCAACACAAGTGCAGGAGCCCCGTTCAGCCCCATGGATGCAGTGTCACTGCTCATACATGGTAATCCAGATGGATCTTGGCAGGTCCGTGGGGAACATCTGCATTGCCCAGCCCTGCTGCTACGGCCAAGGCAGCTCAGAGGAGAGAGCGAGCACGTCACAGCAAGAGTTTTCTTCTGGCCTAGCTTCAATTTAGGGGCAAAACTAAATGATGGTGTTTCAAGGATGAGGGATCAGATCGAGACAACACAAGAAGAGAGAAGAAGAGATAAAAGATGGATATGGAAGGAGGAACAAAACTATAGAGGACTAAATCTGCTGCTGTCTCCATGGGAAAGGGGGAGCTCAGGTTTTCTTCTGTGTTTCTCCAGTGTTTTTTCTCCGCAGTGGCCAGGAGGTGCCAGCCTCACACACCTGCCCTTCTCAGTGCTTGGCTGGGCTCTGCTGAATACTGGGGCATTAACCTGACCTAGAAAATGCTCCTGCTAGGGTCAAGGGGAAACTCGCCTGGGAAAAAGCAAGTTTTGCTTTGCTGACACGCTGGTTTTGGCTGCCTCACCGTTTTTCGTCTCGTAGCTCTATAGCAGCAAGTCTGGCCCTTGCACACGCACGCAGGGCTGGAGCGTAAGAATTCACAGTTCCCTGCTTCTGCTATCCCACCCTTGGATACTCCATTTCTTCTCTTTCTAGCTTACAACTAGATTTTATTCCTCTGAAGTGGCTTCCTAGAATTGCTCCAACTTGCCAGCAATGCCAAGACAAGAGAGTTTTAGCAAGGACAGTAGTTAAGAAGTAAACAGAGGAGGCTGCCTCATATTGCATGAGTTGGTCCAGGTCATCTCATGACACTCATTGCAGATCCACCCTGAGAAACCACCCTCCATCAGCGCTGTCGTATTCGTTAGTGACACTTCATGATAAAACCGACTGATGCCTTACGCAAGAGCAATACCTTTCTCCTTTGGCATGAGGCTTGGTAACTTGAATGAAGGGAGTCCCGATTTCCTCTTCAGAGATCCTTCAGCCCCTGCCAACAGCTCTTTTTCTACTGCCTCATTTCCCAGCTCGCCAAACTCTGTTTCGAAGAAAGGATGAGAAGTCACACAAGGCCATTCTTCTCCTGGTGGGATCATAAGTTGTGGCTGCCCCATCCCTGGAAGTGTTCAAGGCCAAGTTGGATGAGGCTTTGGGCAACCTGGTGTAGTGGAAGGTGTCCCTGCCCGTGGCAGGGGGGTTGGAACTAGATGATCTTTAAGATTCCTTCCAACCCAAACCATTCCATGATTCTATGATTTACAGCAGGCAGTTCTGCCGTTCGCACATAAACAGCTCAGCAGTCACAGGTTTCCTTATCAACGAGCCTTCAGACAGCAGGTGAGGCTATGACAGCTATTTACAAACAGAATGATGTCCTGGAAGAACAGGGCATATCTAGGGATGGCAGAGAAGAAAGGATGGATTGGATTCTGTTTTCCAGTGTCATCGCCTTAGGCAGCCAGGGTGACTTCACCAACTTCTCCCAGTCACTTTAGCGTTAAAGATTTACCATGGGCAGATGACAACTGCAGAAGAAACTGCAGCAAGGAGAGCACCATCCAGCCCTGACCTGCTTTTGTGCCAACTCAGGCAGGGGAATTTAAGCCACTTCCATCAGCAGATTAACCCAGCTGACTCTGCACTGAAGTGGGCCAGTAACAGAGGGCTAGTGGTGACCACAGCTCATTCCATAACCTGCCGCCACCAGTTTTGCAATGAGTGTCTAACCACGGCCTCGGATGGGCTGGGCAAAAGGAAAAGGCAGATTCAGCAGAGCTCAGTCATAGCAGCAAACCTGTGAAGGCCCAGAGTAAAAGACTTACCTTCCTCTGGCTCGGGAGATGTCTTTCCTTTTAGGATTCTTGAAATATGGGCAACAGAAGCTTTTACTTTCTTCTTCAGACTCTGCTCCATTGATTGCTCCACTGAATGAGACCTTGCATACGGCTTAAAGAGTCCTGGCTTGTTGTAGAAGGAGCTTTTCTGCTTACCACTGGAGTCCTTTTGGGTGCCGTACATTTCCTTATGACTCTCTGACCCTTTCCCCGTGGCTAATAAGTTAGTTGCTTTTGAATCCTCAGATGTTTCCAAACGGTTCTTCCTGTTCTTGTCCTCTGCGCCTTCTCTGATGCACAGTCTTTTCTCCTTATGCAGATGTCCTGCCGGAGGTGACCTTGCCCTTTCACCAAAAGGTATGAACCGTCTACCAGTTGGCTTGGGTGGAGGCTTCCTATAGTTCAGAAATTCAAACGGGAAATAGACAATGTCATACAAGTCAGAGAAATTCAAATAGGCAGGCTCTACCTCCGATATGTCAAATTTTGGAGTTCCGCTGCCAAGACTGGGTGTTTCGTCTGACAGGTCTTTGATTTTCACTAAAGAAACTTCTGGGTGTTTACCAGTGTCCTTGCTCACTGACACTTGACTGGGTCTTTTTCCAGCGTCCAAGCTATCTGTTGAGGAAACGCTCACTTGGCTAGAAGTGGGGCTTTCAAACGCTAAGTCCTCCAGGTGCTCACACTCATGAGGAACTGTCTGTGCTCCCTGCCCTTCCAGTGCCACTGACTCCTCACTCACGACAAGATAGGGTTCTGCATCGTCATCCAGCTCAGAGACCTCTGCTCTTTTACCCCCTTGTACAGAAGGGAAGGAGGTGTCTGTGGATGCTTGGCTACCTGGGCCTTTGTAGAACATTTCTGTGGGAGAAGAGATGTGCTTTCTGTATTCCTCCTCACCAGAAATGGACTCTGCCCAAACATTCATCTCTTCAGAGAGGGAAACCATCTCATCCACTAAGCCCTCCAGCACAGCAGACTCCTCATCACTGTAAAAAGATGACCTGTGATGTGAGAGCTCCTGACTTTGATCCCTGCGGAGTGATGGTGGGACAGTTTTTCCAGCATCGCGGCTTCCACTTTCTAAGGCAACACCTCTACCTTCACCATGAACCTTTGGATGTTCCTCATATTCTAGCTCATAGACTGAAGCTGGAACAACTGCTGGTTGTGAAGCAGTTGAGACACCTGGAGGTCGACCCTCCAAAGCAGCAGAAACTCTGCCACTGGGATAGACAGCCCTGTGTTGCTCAAACACCTGATGTCCAGGCTTGGGGAAAGGAGCAGGCGTAGTCTGTCCAGCTGCTGGGCTTCCACTTGCTGTCACAACAGATGTCACCTCACTGTGAAGTGATGCCTTTGGATATTTTTGCTTTTCACTCTCACAGACTGAGGGGAGGCCAGTATTTTGGGAGGAAACAGTTCTAGTTGGGTGTCCGCTCTTCAGAACAGAAGGCACTGTGTCACTGACTTTAGAAACCTTCTGGGGTTCAGCTCCCTTGATTTCAGCTTCATGGACCAAGCTGGGAACAACCTCTGCAACAGTTGAGCTTTCACTCCTCAGAGCAGCAAGCCTCTCCTTGCTAGGAGCTGGTCGTTCCCTTTCAGCCTGCCACGTTCCGTCAGAGACCACAGTTGGCATTGGTTTTGGTGGTGGGACTTTCGGAACACTGGGACGCTCTCCCTTCGGGACGGCTGATGCTGTGTCTGTGTGAAGAGGAGCCCTCTTGTGTGCTTGGCTTTCACCATCATGGGCCGACAGTGGAGTGATTCCTGCAACCTCTGGTCTTTCATCCTCCAGGACAGTGGATCTCACCTCTTTATAGGTCTTCAGCTTCTGATGAGCACCTTCATCAGCTGTTTGCAGAGCCGTTAGGGTTCCTGGCCGCTCGCCCTCCAAGGCAGTAGTTGCTGGGACGCTTTGATCAGGAAGTTCCTGAATTTTGTCTTTACATACTAGAAGTGAATCAGTTTCCATTTGTGGGCCTGTTAAAACAGCAGAGCTTTCATGCTCCATGAGACCCGATCTGGCAACGCTGTGAGCAGAAGGCTTCTCATGTGAATGTTTCTGCCTTTTGTCTTTCCAAGGCGGAACTGAGGCTGTCCTTTTGATAAGGAGGCTTCCAGCTTTCAGATCAGGATGGGTGTCAGTACCGTGAGCAGACTGCTGGGGCAGATACATGCCTCCCTTACTGGTAGGGGCTGACTTGGAGGTGGGCTCGGACTGTCTGAGAGTTGCAGTGGACAGTTTGCCCTCCTGAAAAGCAGTGTCAGAGGCATCGCCAGAGAAAGATTTACCCTCCATGCTTTCGTGTTTTTGAGCTGACGGTGCAGCTACATCTGAGGACTGGGCAGTTAGAATAGGCCTTTTGCCTTCCAAATCTTCAACCTCCTCCTCAACGTCAGTAGCTTTTGACTTCTTCAGTAAATGCTTCCTACTCTCGCTCCTATGAGGTGACACTGGAAGTCTCTCTAGCTGTTGCACAGAAACAGCAAGGCACCCATCACCCTCACACTGTGTAGAGGGAGGGTGCTGCTCTTCTGAACAATCCTTGCCGGCTCTCCTAAAGTCCTCTTGCTTTGAAGTGTCTACAGAACATCCCTTGCCAGGCCCTGCAGAAACGTCGCAGTGGTCACTGCCTTCAGGGCAACTTTCCTGTGACATTATGTCACAGTCTTCTTCCAAAATATCTTGTTCCCTCACTGATCTTGAGGCTCTCAGCCTGTAGTCGTCGAGCGAACGGCTTCGGCTAGCGCCAGCAATGGCAGGATGTGGTGGTTTCCTTGCAGTGTCAAATGAAGCTGATTTGGTCAAGGAACCAAGCAGACTTTCCCTGTGATCATCTCCATCATCAGACTTTCCTTCTTCTTCTTCCAGTTCAAACTGCTCCAGAAGAGGTTCACGGAGACCACTGAGAGGCACCTTTGAATATCCAGCTTTCCGGAAAGTCCTTCTGGCTCTGTCCAGGTGCCTTCTGAACTCCCTGCCTGGTGAGGAAGGCCCCCTTGCAGGTAGCTCTGCTGCTTGGCTGTAGAAAGTGCTTTTAATGACACTCTGTCTAGGAACACAGACAGGTGGCTTTTCTGTCCCATCCCCAGCCTTTTCGATTCTGTCCTTATCAGACAAAGCCGTTTCTGGTTTTTCTTTCTGACAGAGATTCGATGTGCTTTCTGTGGAAGTCCCCACTGATGAGGGCTCAGCAGCACTGCTTCTTTGAGACAGCTCTGCTCTTTCATCTTGAAGTCTGGGATGGAGCCCCTCTTCTTTCTCCTTTAAGATACTTGCCATGAGCTCTTTGCTTTCTGGAGGTGATTTGTCCCCCACCTCAGCTTTCATTGAAGCATACTTCCTTCTCATGGGTTTTACTGGAGGGACTGAGATTTTGGAGTGCTTCTCTTCCCCTGCACGTTTTGGAGGCTCCTGATGGCTTGGTGCATCAAATATGGACAAGTGCAGTTCAGGTGTAGAGCCAAAATGCCTCTTCTTGGGGAAATGTGAGTTCTCATTGTCTGAAGAGGAGCCGCTGGTACTAGACGAAGTGCTTTCCTCAATAAGATGTCGGGAGATAGCCAGGGAGGTGTTGTCATGAGTCCTTTCTAGGATTTCTGGGATAGACCGCATTACCAGGATGGATTTATAGCACATCAGAGACCGCTGAAAAGCAAAACAAAATACAGCACAATGAGATGGAAACACGGTGGCAGTATGGTAAAGCAAGCATACCAGAATGAAACTCTTATACACCACACATACACCACACATACTAGTTTAATAACATATGGTGTTTGTATCATCAGTCTGGCTTCATTTGCTCTCCAAGTCTTCCTCTTCTCTCATTCACAGAGGTGAAGCTATATTGGCTTGCTCTTGTGAACATGAATGCAGGACCCTGCTTGAGATTTTCAAAGACAATCTGGCCACTCAAAGCAGATGGAAAAGGAGTTTTTAGCAGAACACATTAGATGAGAGCCTAGTTGGAGTAATGGCCTTAAATCCGTCGACTGCAGTACAACCTACAGTGACTTTGGCCAACAGAAGACCTACTATACTGTAGGAGGCAAGATTCATCTGCTCTAACTTCTGCCATGTGAGACATGTCGGTTGAAGTTGAGCAGCTGTCCTCCCCTTACAGCCAACAGGGAGAAACAGCCATCTTCAGGAGGCAATCAATCTGATTATTTTAGAGAACTTCAGGAAAAGAGGAATCTTCTTGGGACCTGTCTTTTAATTAATTCAGTACCAACTGCAAAGGCAGCTGAGGGTACCTAACTCGTACACAACCACGTGTCTTACAGGCACCTTCATTAGACCAGATGATTTCCAGGCAGTAAAAGCCTAGATAATTTATTTCTGCCACATCCACCAACCATTCTCTCCTGGGCTTATTCCCCATTCACAGCCAAGCTGAGATCTCTGCTGTGCTCACTGTCCTCGCCCGATAGGCTTTAAAAGATGCAAATGTAATTAAAAATATATATAACTAAAAAGAACCAACATAGATTAAGGCCAACTCACCTGCCACTTGCTCCGAGCCACAATGAATTTAAGCTGCTTGGTATTAATGAAATGAGCTGCTTCGAGGGGGAGATTATGCTGCCAGGTGGAATTAGAGGAAAAACGTTAGTTAAAAAATCGTGACTTCCTTTCCCGAGAAGTTTTTTTTTAGGATTCCCTCCTTCCAGAATTGTTTAATTTAGGAAAGTTACAAAAGACCAAATGCTACAATCCCCTCATGGCTGAATTGTAGACGATCTCAGCTTTTCAATGATAAAAGCAAGCCCTGTTCAATGCATGTCATTAAATTCCTTTTTTTTTTAATGTGTTAATTTTTAGCTCTTCTCCTTAGCGATTTAAGGCATTGGAATATAAACCATAATTTTGCTCTACAAAGCCAGAGTTTCCTTTCTATACAGACATGTTATATCTGCTCATGTCAGTAGTAATCTTTATCTTTTGAAAGGAAAGATATCTTGGCATGTAAACACCAATGTGTCTCCTCTTTCTTCTGTGCCTGAGCTCCTCTGTAGGACAGAAAGTAGGAGACCAAGAGAAAAAATAAACCAGCACATAATATCAAGCACCTTTAAGAGGTGCCTCTCCAAAGGTCTCTTCCAACCTCAGTATTTTTAATGACTCTGATAAAGAACCAGGACAAACTTACCATGAACCACTTGTGGGAAAGACAGTCCAAAGCACTAGGTCTGGCTCTGATAAGAGAAAAGATCATCATTTTAGCAGCAAGTCACTTCCAACAGCAACCACAAGACCTTCCTCAAGGTGCCTGCTTCACATGGGCACGCACATACACTTTTGTGTATGTCCCTCGGCTGCTGTTTCAGAGCTGAGAAGCCAAACAGGCAGGCAGAGGCCTTCAACCCAAGGTTTCCTTCCCTTGAGGTGAAACGATCTTCCTTTTCCAGCCTGAGACTCCCTGCAGATCCTCAGCACGACCCCATGGCACTCTGCAGGGAGCCTGTTCAAAGGTGTCGAGAGCAGCCCTAGGAGTGACTTTGACTCTTTAGGTGGCCAAAGCAAAAATAGCTTTGGTAGCAGGCAGAAAGAAGAGAAATGAAATTAAAAAGCAAGCATCTGCAAACATGCCTTCGAGCCGCCTTTTGTACTTGAAATCGCTTAATGAATGTGGTTAATATGATTTAATTCTCGCATAACTCCCTCTATACCAGTCCTTGCTCTTCCCATTTCTCTCTGTCGTTTCAGAAACTCATCTGCCTGGAGGAGTCAGGGAGTGAGGACATCACCATACCACGAGCAGGCCAATTTGACCAATTGCCAAGTTGTGTCTTGGGTAACGGGGAATAATAAAGAAGAATTAGGGCATAACGCACCACGTCTCGCTCAGCTCTCTGCTTTTTCAAATCAAGCACGGCTCTGATGAGCTGAGATCTGCCCGCTGAGACACCAACATCTTTGCACAGTGGCTGTAGGAAAAGCCAAAGGGCACTCACGTGGGGTGCTGCTGTAGGATCCCTTTTATAAAGTCCTTTGCGTCTTCACTCAGGTGAACAAAATCAGGAATGGTCCATGAAATTTCCCCGTTCTGGATATTTAGAAGGGTTCCTCTGTCGTTCTCCCCAGCAAACGGAGACTTGCACGTTAGGCTTATTTATGGAACACCAGAAAAGAAAAGGAGATGGACTTTAGACTTTTATTTGCTGTTCAAATGACAGAAGCACAAATGGTTACGTGGGGCTTTACAACGCTTGAGGGACTCCGTGCGTGGGACTTGGCGATGCTTGTGGGCAGCGTGTCCACTAACAGAGCATCTTTCACCCCAGCGTTACGTGGCACTTAACTGAATTCTTTATCCCTGTTCCACAGATAAGGAATTAAGCTACAGTAGGCAAAACAGGCAAGGGGAAGACTGAACCTCATCCACCGCTCTCATCGCTAACTGCAAGGAGAGCGGCGGCCAGGTCTTCAAGCAGGGACAAAGAGCGAAGCCCTGGGCAACCAGGAAAGAGGGAGTAAAGGAGAAAACCACAAAAGAAATTGCCCTCGTTGTAGAAGGACTCAATGCTTCACTCAGATCCCTCACGTGAAGGTACTGGAGGGCTCTGACTGACAAAGGGATATTGAATGAGTGTTTCCAAGAAGATTTATTTACCTTAAGTATGTGATGACTCCAACAGCCCTGAAGAGAGAGGGAAGACAAATGTCACGTATTCATCACTATATATTTCTCCATCTGTTTCAAGCACACAGCCCTTCTTCCTGCCACTAGACACCCTGGCCCAGTAAGATCACCTTCTCCTCACCTTTCCAGGGAAAATAAATCCTAAAAGATAATGTTTTCACTCTTCAATTTTTCTCCCTTCAACATTTTTTAAAATTCTTCTCAAGTAATCCTCCATTTTTAAAGCACAGACAGAGGAGAAGACTTAAAATACTTTTTTTTTCGAGTTTGTTTGCCTTTTCTAGAAAGCCCCTTAGGATCATCCTCCCTAGTTGCTGCCTCTAATAAAGATTATCTTCTCTAAGATGCTCCTTTGCATTAATTAGCTGTCAGAGTTCAATTATGGTTGAACAAAATAGACAGAAGGAGCTTTAAAGAGCCCTAATGGGTTTTGGATTCTCAGTGTTCACTTTCACTTTCCTGTGTTATTATCACTACGTCAGTTACTTATTAACAATAAATGGAAATTCAGGCCATCTAGGGCAAAAGCTTTTTAGAAAGATGACAGGTTACCAGATATCAGTTGCTTTTGACACTGGTGACTGAGAAACAATTTCTGGGGCGACAAACTCCGGAGACCCATATTTGCTGAACTGAGGTTCAAAGGGCGTGATCTTCTGAGCAAATCCAAAGTCACAGAGCTTAAGGTCTTCCCTTTCAGGGTAAACCATGAGGATATTCAGCGGCTAGTAAATGAAATAAAATAAAAAGGAGAAACTTTTCGTGAAAGCAGGCAATATTTTCAGTTGTAAGTAAGAATAATTCGAATAGAGAATGCCCGTTCCCTGACCAACAAGAGGCTATGACAAGCTAGACCTGTCATTGCACATTACCTTAATGTCCAAATGAAGGACGTTGTTGTCATGAAGATATTTGATTCCTTCCAAAATTTGCTTGATATACAATTTGACCTAAAAATTAAATCCATTATAAAACAATTATTAAACGTTAATAGTAAATAAGAGGGTCTCTGATTCCACCAACATTTTTAATACATGAGAGAGGGAGAGATTGAACTAGAAATACTTTTAAAACTAGAATGAACTTCTTATGCTGGTCTTGCAGTTGAAATAAGATGTGCACCAAACATTACCCTGTGGAATGAAGCTGTGCCTCGTGTAAGAGTACATTACCCTGCTGGAGTCTTCTATACGTGAAAAAGTCCTTACTTAAAAAAGCCCAAACCCTACAAACACGCAGAAAAGAGAAGATACAGAAATCCTCAGGTGTGATGAACCTTATCAATTGTCTAACTTTATCTGACTCAAAGTCGTCTTTGGCTTGGTGTAAACCAGGCAAACACATTTAAAACACAAATAAATTTTAAAAGTATGTCATAAACCTATTTTCTTGACCATATGTAGATCAAATCTGAGTGACTGAACAAGGAGTGAAGGTTTACAGCTAGCTTTGGCTTTGGAAGTCCTCTATCTTTGACATTTTGTAGCGTCAGCTGATGTTTGATCTTTAAAGATCTCTTCCAACCCAGACCATTCTATGATTTTTATGATATTTCCCTCTTGAGTATTTATAAAAAAAAAATAATTTTATGAATAAATACGGGACATCTGGCTGCTAGATGGGAGATGTGAAACCTTTTGAACTTTGAGAGCCAAGGATCTCAAAAAAACCTTTGGACACTGCAATTTCAGCCCTTGGTCTGGAGACTGAAAGGGAGAGGATAGAAATGAAATTGTGAGGGGATAAAGCATTATTAAGCAAGGGAAGATACAGGAGCTCCAGGTGACAGGTAGCAAATAAACCATTATAACAGAGCAAATATCATAGAATCATAGAATCACAGAATGGTTTGGGTTGAAAGGGACCTCAAAGACCATCTAGTTCCAACCCCACTGCCATGGGCAGGGACACCTTTCACTACACTGGGTTGCCCAAAGCCTCATCCAACCTGGCCTTGAACACTTCCAGGGATGGGGCATCTGTATTAGGCTGAATGCAATGCTGGTGGTCAAAACCACTGGCTGTTTCTAGTTATTCCCTGAAGAAATTCAACTTAGTAATGAAAGTTGATGGGAACGCACTTTAAGGGCTGATTCTGTTTTGACAGGCCGTCACTGATTCAAAGATGTTCTTTATATTCAAAAAGGAAAATGCAGCTGGAAGCTACTCTGATGGTACCTACCAACTCTGGGCTTTCAAATGAGAGAGAAAGATTACCTCTGCTTCAGTGACGACACTCTTCTTGAATAAACGGTCAAGCAGCTCTTCGCTGGAGCATCTGACAACAGCATTAAGGGAAAATAGAACTACAGTTAATTGCTTATTTTTACTTTGCAACCACCTCTATCCAGCTATCAGCAGAATTCACCAGGTGATCTCAGGCAACGTGATGTGCATGTGATTCATTAAAGTCTCCATGGCAGCAGTGTCCTTCTTGCAGAATGGGGCTGCTCTAAACCCGTGCTCCCTGCAAGCAGGAGCGTGGCATCCCTTGGGCTGAAATCCACCTGCTGGCAATGGGCTTTTCTGTGTTTTCCCAGTGCTCACCCAGACTGGATCTCACAGAAACAGAGTCCTTCACTTCCAGACATTTCAGAAAAGAGTTTTGGTGCTTCACAACTCCTTCATGCTTGTATAGACAAGTATCATGATTTTTCCTAAAACGGCAGAAACTTAGTACTTCAGTGAAGATCTCACAGGGCTATGCTGTGTTGCAGTGCAGGGAAAGACTGTGTGTCTCCTTTCATCTGAGGCAAAACCTAAAAATGGTTAATTGCTTAGTTATTTAATAAATGAGCTCTACCCGGAACTTCCCAGCCTCCTCAGAAAAGCAGCACGGAAAAGGATACAGCTCCAGAATCAAAATCAGTGTTTTCCGCGTTTCGAACTGATCCAGGAGCCTGGTAATTCTGTCATGGGACAGCGAGGCAAGAATATCCCTCTCCTGATGAGCTCGAGCCTTCGTTTTGCTTCGGAGGGGTATGAATTTGGCAGCGCAAGACACCCTGTTCCCTTTGTGTACAACTCGTTTCACGAAGCTGAAGCAGCCCCTGTGGAAAATCCAAGGACAAGCCCTGCTCAGACTCGGTTCAAAGCCCTCTGCACAGCAGGTGGAGACCTTTCCACGTCCCAACCTTTGACAGCTCCCTGCTGCTCGGGGCTTAAATCCTCCAACACAAAAAGCTCATTTTCCCGTGTGTGAGGTGCTGTTGCCCTCTCCCGGCTGCCTCCAAACTGAGCAACGAGTTCACATCCAGCAAAAAAAGCTGCTTCAGGTGGCACAGCCTTGTGCTGACAAAGGCTGATGCTCTTGGATCCCTTGGATGGATGTGGTGCTTGTCTGGGCTTGTGATGCTAGTGTCACCAAGAAGCCATCCCTGGGCACCTATCCTGCCAGCCTCTGGCTCCTGTTTTTTCTGGTTGGAGCTACCTGGACCTATGGGCTGTATGGACTCTCCCATCCTCTGTCAGAAACTGCAGGAAAGTGTTTCCAGCACACGTGCAACTCCTACTTCTGTCAGTATTTTCACCTTTTCAGACTTTTCCACAGCTCTGCCTCTGGTTACACCTGCTCAGCAGCTCAGATGGGCAATTAGATATTCTCCAGCAGTGATGCTATAAGGTTGGAAAATTCATTTACCTTCCAATCTCCTGCTTAACCTCATAAAGGGAATGGAGCTTTCTCCTGGTGGCCACTTTCTTTGCTGCTTGGTCCTTCTTAGCTTTGGAAATGAAGGAAAATAGAAGTGTTAATATTCAGACAGTGCCTTGCTAATAGCGTGCAAAGTTATTACAGGACAATTTAAGGCAGGAAAAATTAGAGGCATCCTCTAAATTTCTGCACAGAGTTAAGTGGAGCTGTTTGATGACAGAACCTGTCAGTATGAACTTTGGGGCTGCATCTTCACCTGACGTAGGACAGAAGAGCCAGGCTAAAGAGCAGAACACCACCAGAGACATGGCCCCACGTACTTCTGTGGCCCATTGTATCAGTTCCATGGGCCACGTAGTCTGAAGCAGGCAAAAAAAAAAAAAAATCTCATTTGTGTATATATATGTGTAGGTCATTAGATCATTTGCTGTTATACTGGATCCTTCCATACTGGTAATATACAAATGCTACGCAGGAATACAGAGCAGATACCATGTGGGCACCAGAAGACTACTGCAACGGAGCACACATTGCAATGGCTCTAGAAGAACAACATTACCTTCAAGTACAACAAGTTCTGCTTTGCACAAAACCTCCCCTCCTGCATTTTTGGCAACACAGGTATAAACACCACCATCTTCCGAGACGGCATTGTCCACGACTAAGAAATATGTGGTTCCTTCCTTCCCTTGATGGAGCCTGTTGCTGTCTATCAGCAACGAAGTGCCCTGAAAGAATGAAATGACATTTTGGCACTGGAGAAACCATGGTGGAA